ATATATATAGCTTTATATATACGAAGTTATTCATATATAACGTCAGTAAAACGATTTAAGTTTATCGAACAGTTTCTATATCTTTTACGTCAGTTTGCCCCACTTCTCAGCTTTTCTAGTACCTTGAAAAAATTGCTGCAGGCTGAAACAAAAATGATAACTTTCTGAAAGTCATTCTGGAATCTAATACTAGTGAAACATTAGTTAAAGCGTCTCTCTTTTCATTATACTGGACATCATATCCACGAATGAAGAACAATTTCAAAGACGAACACATTGATACGTCATTTATTATTATTATATATTTTTTCGATTATCATTCCATCATGTCAAATATGTGATACCATTATTATTGTATATATCAGTATGACTTAAACCGCTCGATATGATCGATGTTTTTTAATAACCTTCGGGGGTGGTACGGTTAGATCATTCTTTCCCAGTTTTTTTCCCACTACAATTCATAGCCATCGCATAATACAGAGTGACACTTTTCTATTCTAATAAATATTGTTATCTTCAGCTCATACAATTCACGAAGAAGCCTCGTTGTTATCTGTGTTAGGTTACAAGGTAATCCACAAGCCGCCTCTCATAGAATGGCCGATTATTTCGAAATTCTGCTCATTTGATAGCGAGTCATCTTGGATTGCAGATGAGATCGTTGGTCAACACGCTGGTGGCGCCACAAGTCAAAATTATCTCTCTCTATACGCTCTTGTTCACGACAGATTTGTGTAGACTCGAAACGTAGCCATCGATAAACTCGTTAGCAAGGTACCTAATGTAGAACATTTGCGTTCACAGAAGGTTTTGCTTTAGCCCAACACAGTTTATCAATTGCTTCAAATATATCATTATAATGCTTATCATCACCTGCGATTACCGGGAAGTGAAGGAAGAGGGACACGACTTGCAGCAATTATGGACATCTGTTAGCAGACCAAATCGTACGTGACTTTATAACGCAATGAGGGCAAATGACTTTTATCGCACTACCTTCTCGTTATGCTGTTTACTGTATAAGTATAGGTCGCGATACTTAAACTGCCTCTGGTTGCCGATTGAGGTTTACACAGCAACAGGTGGATTGGAAACACCGAGTAAAAGCACTCCGTAGTCGTGAATACCACGGGCCCTCCGATGTCTTCATCGCCGATATCACTGCAATTCAAATATGCAACAGAACAAATTCCCAACAAATTATCTTATTATTATAGTAATACTTAGACAATTGACTCGCTATTAGTACACACATTTGTCAAGCATCTAGCCGTTGCTATATATTTGATAGGGTGGAAACTCTGCATTACTGCTGCAGGAAACAGTGCAGTAATGATATACATCTAGACTTCAAAGTAAACAGGGGTAAATGAAGATTAACGCTACATATACGCTGCCCTGAAAAGAAACTGCTTTGTAATCTGCTTTGGATAACGAAAGCAATCAGGAAAAAGATATACATTGTTAAATATCGAAAATGCTTACCCGAGGCTCGTGGGCCATCAGTCGGAGAATGATATTTAGCATGAGGAATGGACTTACGTGCCCTCTGCAAAAAAACAACACAAAGTTAATTTTTTTTTTTCGTAGCCAATTCTCCGCTTTCCACAATGTAGAAATGAGTATCCAGTCTTTGTTTGTGACGGCAGTTCCACAGCTGATCTTTGATCGTGTAGTACGGACAACAATCTTCACTTTTGTAATTAAATACTGTACTAACTTCATTGGCGAGAAGCTGCGCCTGCTCGGTAATGCCTTTTATGTACTCTTCGACGAAGTGCCGTAAGTCTACTGAATTATGCTTCAGGTTCGTACCCTGCAAAAATAGAGCACATTTGCTTCGTTCAGAATCTAGTCTAGACGCAACCCACATTGGAGATAACGACCCAGAAACATACATTTCTAACATACGACGCTGCAATTAGGTATTCAGTATGTAGCTCGTTGTGCTAGTTGCTTGCGAGTGTGTTCCTAAGCGCCATAAGTCACCCCAGACCCTTGCTAGATGATCCGCTCACATATGTTATTCGAAATTGTAGGCAAAATTGGGACCGGCTGTACCTTCATTTCGGTAAACAAAGATGATTTCCTTTTGGCGACCCGCTCGGCGACTTGCGCTTCTGAAGGTGACTCTAGTCCAGGTCCCAAGCATGGTGGACTGTCATCGGCGAACGGAAGACTAGCAGGTTTCGAGCACATATACTCCTCGGCCCCCTCTCGCTGAAGAACTTCTTCGGTTACTCCGTGCAAAACTAGATCTTGCACTGTCGTCGCGGGCATTATATCTGAAAAATGAGTAGATAAAGGTTAGCTTTGAAAAGTCAAGGTCACCCTGTAACACAGAAACAAGATTCCGGTCGACAGTAAAGATTAAAACCATCTCTTGAAATTTCCATTTTTGTAAACGCTCACAAACCAATTACTGTTTTGCATATCGTTTTAGGTCTCCTTCAATGAGAAGGCAGATCAAATATAAAAAAAAAAATAATAAGCGTACAATCTGAGGTCACTTCACCCATGCAAAATGTCACAGAACGTTTCAATGTGTTTTTAGACCAAAGTCTCACTTTTGGACTAGACAAGAATCACCCAGTATCTGTGGAAAGTGGAAACATCTGTTGATTTTTAAAAGGAAGGTTCTCATGAACTCAGAACATCCATTCAGCTTGTATTATATCTAATACAGTCTTTAGGTTTTATAAGGCTATATACATTTAAGTCTCGCACGAAATATTTTAAATGAGGATCAAAACACTAAAGTGATGTATATGTTACGTTAGATGTTCGTACATTTTAAGAGATTGCTGAATTAATGAATAAAGCTGCATAACATAGTAAAAACATATTGCTGCAATCAAAATGTATATCTTGGGTAATCTGCTGCCCTTTTCTGGTAAACTTTGCCCCCCTCTCTCTCTCTCTCTCTCTCTCGATATATTTTTATACGATCGCGCAT